GACACTCTCCCTCTCGGACACCAAGAGACTATGACCAAAGGAACCCGAATCCATCTTCCAAGTCTCGTGGTCATTACTCCTCGAATTCAAGATATGGTTGATACCAATCTTCCAAACAAATCAAGCCTCGACAATCATTTGGTTCTGAAGCCAAATACATCTTCACAGGACTGCCAAAGAGAGAACAGATGAAATTAAGGCAAAAGCTTATGAGAGACAACAAAGTAACTATGGATGGCATAGGAAACTTTGTGGACTTTGTCCCATATGAAGAAGGCAGTGGCAAACGATTCGAGGGTTGCAATAATCCCACTTGGTTGAAAACAAAGGACAACCATACAAGACAAAACCACATGAGCACTCAAAATGAAAGAATCAAAAGAGCAAACAAAGAACTGTGGAGGAAGCATGATGAAGAAAGAAAGAGAAGAGAAGATGAAGCAATGGAAAGAAAGAGGATCAACAATCTCATTGAAGATCTTTCGAGTGTAACCAAAGATTCCCCACAAAATGTCATGCATAATGCAGCTTTCAAAGTGCACAAGGAAGCAGGAAACAGCTACCAAAAAGGCATGAATTCGTTTGAACTGATCTCGTGGTGGAAGTATGGTATTGTTGAAGGAAGCAACATTCGGGAAGCCTACAACAATTACACTGGTCTGAACATCAAAGGAGAACATGAAGAGCTTGTCAGGACTAATCCTATCAAAGTCTTCAGAGCAAAAATCAATGAGAAAATTGACTTCAACAGGATGCTAAAGCGACAAAAAGAAAAGGATGACCAAGAGCTCAAGGAAGCTGAACAACAGAAATCAAAGCTTTTAGAAATGTAAGTTAACTTTTGCTATATTCCTTTTATGAAGTTTTTGTAATGATCACATCTTTATATATGAAGCTCTCATTATTACACATCTCGTGTCACCTGTTTGAGTTACTTGTTCTTATATCGCTTATTAAATGCTTTTATCTAGAAAAAGACTTGTAAACTCTCGAGTATGGCTGTTTTTATATAAGAAAAATCCTTATGGAACTTTTATCAGCCTTATAAGAAGAGTATAGGTTTTGGCATCATCAAAAAGGGGGAAATTGTTAGGAACATTGTATTAGGATTTTGATGATACCAATGTAATGTAGAAAATAGACCCCTAACCATTAGCTGTTTTTGTTTCGCTACTTTCGTCCTAGACGAGAGTTGCCATAACTCCTTTGTAATTCGTGTTAAGCTAGACAAACACATGAAAATGAGTTATGACTAGATGTTAGGATCTCCAAGGCGAAAGAAGACACGAGACATGAAGAACAACAACGAGAGTCAAGCAGGAGTTGTCAACAAACACGAAAGGACAGTGTTTGTAAAAGACGATCTTCATTAAACATTACTTCTCTTCAACAACGAGAAGAATGTTTCACCTGTCTGATTTGACAACATCCTAGGACAATAAGGACTTCATTTTATGGGACTCACTTTTCAAGAAGCATTAAATGAAGATGTACTATCTCTTGGAGCTGAAGGACAAAACCCTAATGCTTTCCATACCTTCAACGGCTACATGGTACAACCTCATTAATGAAGCATTTAATGCATGAAGCTCTCCGGTCCTTGTCCAATGGTTAAAAGGTTCGAAAATTTCATCTCCCTCCAACGGTTGGATTTTCATCACCTATTTAAACTCACCTTCATCAACTAAGAAGGTGCTGGTTCATTATCACTCGACTTACTCACTTACAAAAGCTCTTGAAACGTCTACGATTTACAAAAAGCTTTTGTGAACCAGTTTTTGAGGTGTTAAGTTACTTGGAGAATCACTTGTCTTACACCTCAAGGAAGTCTTGACATCAGTTTGAAGCTATCATATCTCAGAGTCAAGATCTCTTTGTTGGAGAATTCAAGAAATCATTTTCTACCAACCTCAACTCAGGAGAAAAAGTTGATAGAGGCGGAGTAAACTCGAGGAGTTGAAAAACCTACGAAGGCTGTCCGGCTTAGTGATCAAGGAAGTCTTTGTGTAATTGTACTAAGAGTGATAGTGCAATCCTTCCAACAGTTGTGGAAGAAGAGTGGAGTAGGCAACATTGGCCGAACCACTATAAAATCTCGTGTCCTCCTTATCTCCTTACTTACGCTTTTTATTTTGCTCTCATATCATTTCTTCATTATCATTACCGAAAGTTTGTCTAATTACGTAAACTCGTGCAAAGTATTTTAAAATGAATCTATCTTATCCGCTGCGCCAAGACACCGAAAGGTGACGTTTAGGGCTTCTAACGAAAAGAGTCTATTCCCCCCCCCCCCCCCCTCTAGACTCTCATCTCATTCTATCGGGACCAACAGATATAGATATAGATATATAAATAAAAAGACACCATGAGTTTGATTATTATTATAAATACCCTTTTGGTATAAATTTGGTATAAGAATATATTGAAACTATTTCTTTTGGTATAAATTTTAGTGCTTTGAATTAATTAAATATGACCTTATTTGCACCAAAAGTTTTAAATAGTTAGGTCATTTGCATCCTTAAAATACTATCTTATTTTTAAAAGTGAGTCATATTGTCATAATATCAATATCCTTTTTGATTATTACAAATATCCTTTTTTTTTAACTCATCTTACAGAATTTAGCACACCATCAAATAGTATCTGTGAGTTTTCTTTGTCACCCCAGTTGTAGTTGAGGTTGATCATACTGCAGGGAAGGCCTTGTGGATAGAAAGAAGCGCACTTGTCCACTGTTCCTGTGCATTTCAAATACAAAAAAAATGTATGCAAAGAATGGAAATATGCAAACACCTCCACTGTACTACTTCCCCCACCATTACTGCCACCTCAAAATCAACTCTGATCTTCCATACTGACCTTGTTCTTCTTCTCCACACTGCATTTATATATCTCCAACCCAAGCTGAGGCGTCACTGGTTTTCACTAGTACAGAACTGCACATCCGCGACCATTGTAAAAGACATTACGCGACCATTGTACGACGAAGAAGATCGGAAGGGTAGGCGGTGGAGACGGCAATGGCAGCTGCAGATCGACGGCACGCTGGTCCGAAACGACGAAGCTGTGGTGGGGTGTCGGCTGTGGCGGTGTGCGACGACAGAATAAATGGTGGTGGTGTGCGACGGGGGTGGTGGTGTGCGGTGAGACGATCGAAGCAGACGGTGGATCGGAGCAGAGGGATGAAGATTTTAGACGGTGGGTGTTGAAGCGGTGAGACGATTTCGATCTGATCTAGGCGTGTGGTAAATCTAGGGTTAATATTAGGCAACCATTTCTATTAGAAATGGTTGCCTATTATAAAACAAGTTCTATTTTAAGGCAATCATTTCTTTTAGAAACGGTTGCCTATTATAAATCAATTTTTTTAAAAAAATAAAAAATATAATGGGCAACCATTACAGCTAACAATGGTGGCGAATTTTTGGGCTAAGATTAGGCAACCATTTTTTCAACAATGGTGGCCTATGGTCAATCTTCTATGTTCAATTTTGTATTAGTGAATCTGCTTCTGGTAGCTTAGCGATACGAACTCCATTATATTGCAATCACCAAAACAAAAGTCCATCAAAAACATATATATAAACGAATCCACGCCTCGAAAACGTTGGAATAATGCAACAGGCAAATGTTTTACATACTTGAAGCGAAATCTTGACAATGTCACCTTCTCAATACACCAACTCTGAAGGCATGAATTCTGCATACACCTCTAATCTTTCTCCAATTTTTCTTGGGACCACAAACTTAATCTTTTTATAGTCTATAAACCCAAACGTAGTATATTTAACTGCTTCTTCAACCCAAGTATCAGTGGTTCTGCTACTGACAGAGATACGAACTCCTTGAAGGGAACTGTCATGAATTGCAGGGTTAGTGGTTCTTATGGATCTCAAAAGTGTTGGAAAATGGCATGCTAAATTATCGGCTCTACCTCCTTCAAGAACAAACGTGACACTATCACCTTTGGCTTCAGAACGTGCCTACATTATTATATATGGATTACAATGACAATTAATACTAAAACAATAACAATAATCTAATATATATATGATCTTGTACATGATTCAATTCTTGATCTCCCTTTTGTTTCTGTCCTCCAATTCACTTCATCTCCATCCAAATGGTGTAAAAATCATTCCTAATTGCTTTCATCAAATTAAATTGTACCTGTTCCCACACACACACACACAAAAGTAAATAAAAGCACTTTGAACCAAATCACTAAATTTTAAGAATAAAAATATAGGATCAAATATGAAAGTTAAGTCATCTTTTGAATGAGTTAATTACGCTTTAATCAAAATAAATAAAATATAAAAAAAAAATGTGATAATTCAAATACTACAGTCAATTCATTAATAAATTATAAATATTAAAATGGCATTCAATAGACAACAAAAGATATAGATGTTAAAGAGGTGTGAAGGGCGGATATACTTACAAGTTACAATAATAACAATCCTTTTGCAGCAAATTAAAAGCTGAAGATTATAACCGCCTCTGCTGGATATTTCTGCCGCCTCAATCTACCTATCTGCACCTTCCTTTTCCTCTTCCACTGTCCATCTTCCATAGAAAGGAATGCATCCCCTTGTGGATGGAAAGAAACGCACTTCCCCTTCTCTGTTTCTATGTATTTCAAATAGAAAAAATATCATCTGCAAATGAGACTTGAATTCTGCATACACCTCCAATACTTCTCCCATCACTGTGGGAACCACATAATTAAGAAAAAGTAATTCGCGGTTGATGTTAATATATTTCCATTGCTTTATAATCCGAACACCACTGCTTTTGATTTTTGCACTAAAACGAATTCCATTGCAATCATCAATTTCATTATAGGGATCAATCACACCTTCCATGATGATTTCAAACATTACATTCCCCAAACTGCACCATACAGACCCCTTGAACACAGGAATCCCAATTTCGACACAGTCACCTTTAGAACATGCCTACATATTATGGAATACATACATACAATAAAACAATTAGTTATTACTACCTACCTACTATAATATAAAAACACCAAATTATCAGATCGAGATGAGGGGAACATATATAACTAACCTTGAACCACTTTTCAATTGAAGGAATCCTCAAACCAATGCAATTTGCTATCCCAAGACTACCTAAGGATTCAAGACTCTCCAAGCCTGAAAGCTCAACCAAACTTTTACAGTTCTGAATATCTAGCCGATAGAGTCTTTTCAAGTTTGATAAATTTTCTATTTTTTCTAATGAGACGCAATTCTTTGCAGAGAGTACCACCAAATTAGAAGGAAGTTGTGGAAGTGATCTAAGATTCTGCAGATCGTCCAAGCAGAGATGCATCAAATTGGAATGATGGGAAAGGCTTAATGGTGAACTTTGAAGATAATATCTTCCCATTAAATCTATTTCTTTCAACGAGGAGGACAAACTCCTAAGAGCAATTGGAAGATCTTCATGCAAATAGTTGTCAGGTATAGTCAAGGCATTGCAATTGCTTATGTTAAGCTCTTTTAAGGATGAAAGACTCTCCATGTTCGGAAGCTCAACCAAACTTATGCAATTGCTTATGTCAAGTCTTTGTAAGGATGAAAGGCTCTCCATGTTCGGAAGCTCAACCAAACTTTTGCAATTGCTTATGTCAAGTCTTTTTAAGGATGAAAGACTCTCCATATTTGGAAGCTCAACCAAACTTATGCAATTGCTTATGTCAAGTCTTTTTAAGGATGAAAGACTCTTCATATTTGGAAGCTCAACCAAACTTATGCAATTCCCAATACTCAACACTTCAAGTCTCTTCAAGTTTGATACAGCTGCTATATTTTCCAATGAAACACAATTTTCTGCAGAGAGTTTCTCCAAACTAGGAGGAACTTCTACAAGTACTCTAAGATTTTGCAAATTGTCCAAGTCTAGAAATTTCAAGTTTGAAAGATGACAAATGCCAAAGGGTAAGCTCTGATGATAACAACTCCCAGATAAATTTAAAGTTACCAATGAGGTGAAATTCTCAAAAATGATCCTAAGATCTACTTCATGTAGATCGATGTAACTCAGATATAGATCTTCCAAGGAGCACAAATTTGCAACTGAAGGTGGAAAAAAACCAACACCATCACAACTTCTTCTTGACAAAAGAAGAGGTGATGATAAAATGTCAAGAAGTTGAGATTTTGATTTTGATGGTACACAACTCTTGATTTTCCCCAGACTCAGATTCTTTAGATTTCTCAAACATCCCAAAGAAAATGGTATATGTGAGATGGCAGTTCCAACAACAAATAAATCTCTTAGTTGCTCTAATTTTCCCAAGTCAATTGGAAGCTCCTCCAGTTTTTCACATTCTTGTAAACATAAAACTTCAAGTGATTTTAAGTTGCAAATGCTACTTGGAAGCACCTTGAGTTTCTTGCAATTGTTGAAATACAACTCAACAAGACTCTCCAAACTTCCAATTGATGGGTGTACCTTGACCAAATTTGAACACCTCAAAAAGGATACTTTTTGAAGAGTATTATGTGCCCCAATGAAGTTTGGTGTTCTCTTAAGTTGTTCACAATGATCAAATTTTAAGATCCTCAAACATCTAAAATGCTGTTGAAAAAAAAGTAGAAAAAGGTTTAATCAATTTCTATTTTTCTAGTCAAAGTTCTTAATTAAGAAATATGCAATGTTGAAAGAAGCATTAGACATACTAACCTGCATATTGCATGGGAATTCTTTGATATTGCTACCCTCCATGTCTAACTCAACAAGTTTCTCACAGCGAAAATTAGATGGTATGCAACTCAAATGGCAATTGTGTAATCTAAACAACCTAAGCTCATTGGATAAATATTTAAAAGATCCGCTGAGACACATATCATTCAATATGAGTATTCGTAACTTTACCATCCTTTTGAATACTTGAGTATTCAAAGGCACATTCTTTAACATGTCAGAATTTACAATCATCCCTTCAATTGCTTCGGTGCCCTATAAAAAACATTTATATAACAATATTTTAGATTTTAGATATTTTGAAATCTTTGATTTTAATAAATTTAAGTATAGAAAACAAATGAATTAACTAGCTAGAATAACTCAAATACAAAGGACATGTTTTACCTTGTTCCCGTGAAGAACATCAAAGACATCTTTTGGATCAATCAATCTACTTTGTTTGCCCGGCTCTCGTGGAGATTCCTTTCGAACAATTTCTCTTCCCATATCTCGTAATAAGTCATGCATATGAAGGGTTTCAAATTTTCCTCCTCCATTTGTTGTCAACGAGCATCTTTCAATCAAAATTCTTATTCCACTTTTAGCATAAAAACCACAAGCTTCCAATATCATAGAAGTGTCATTTTTGTTATGCCTAATAAAAAAACAAGCAATATCAAGAAAGATATTCTGAGTATCATCATCAAGTGAATCATAACTTATTTTAAGAATTTTTTGAACATCATCATGAGGTATCCCACTTAATTTCTCAGCATCATCACTCCATTCTTGCATTGATTTGCCACGCAAATAAGAACCTATAATTGTAAGTGCTAGTGGAAGTCCATCAGTATAACTTGCTATCTTTTCAGATAGTTCAATATACTCCTCTAATGGTATAGAAACACCAAAAGCATGCCAACTCAAGAGTTGCAAGGATTCATCAGGGCTTAACGTTTCTACCATGTACTTCTCGTGTGCTTCCAGGTTACTCAACAACTGAACATCTCTAGTTGTTATTATAATTGTGCTCCCTAAACCAAACCAATTACGTTGTCCTGCTAATGATTCTAGTTGACTAGTATCGTCTATGTCATCAAGAACAATAAGAACAGTTTTTGACCGCAGTCTTTCTTTAATCAAAATTATTCCTTCATCAACATTATCTATTTCAAGTTTCTTTCTGTTGAGTGTTTTGCAAAGAAGTTTCTCTTGTAAACGAACTAAACCATGATCTCCTTCGGAAACTTGTGATCTAATGTTTGCAATAAAGCAACAACCTTCAAACTTTTGAAAACTCAAATTGTAAATGGCTTTAGCAAGGGTTGTTTTTCCAACACCACCCATACCAAAAATTCCAAACATCTTGGTGTCACCATTTCTTTGAGTTTGCAATAAATGAAGTATATCTCTAACACGAGATTCAATTCCAACTGGATACTTTGCGACATTCATGTATGTACGACGATTCACTCCCCGCAATACCTCTTCTGTAATTTTTTTGATGAACTTTGATTCATACCTATCACATTTTTCCATTGAATGTAAATCTAAATCATTAAAGAAAATATAGGTGAAAAACATAAAACTAAAAAATTAAATAGATCGAGCACATGTTACAGAACAAGAAATATGTATATTTAGTCTCTCGTGATTCCATTGTTTGAGGTAAATTACAAAACTCTTATAATATTTTTATCAACCGATATAATCAATCCAAAATTTTAATTTCTAAAAGGAATTAATATTTATGACAAATAAATTGAAATGCAAAGTGCAGATTCTTCATAGCTTGTTTTACCAAAAATATTAATCCATCCATAAAGATGCATGTATAGATGCTAGAACGCAATTATTAATTAGCAAAACTAAAATTATTAATATTATTCACAATGAGTTAGTGAGCCAAATTGTGACTAATATATCATACTCACACAAAAATATAAAACAAAATTGAAAAGAGGATTACCCATTTGTCATGGTTTGCAAATCCCATCCAGACAAATTAGCAACAGTAGTGAGTGCAATTTTCCACTCATCAACTCTTTGATCGTCAAATTGTTGTCGATGTTGAGTCAATGCCTTACCAAATTCGCCTGTTTGTTTACGAACCTCTGAAGGATCAACGTTGTAGAATATAGGCAGAATCATCTGTTGCAAATTTTTCTTACAGTCTAGAATCTTCACCAGTTCATCAAGACACCATCTGGATTGGGCATAAGTTTTGGAAAATACGATGATGGATATCTTGGAGCCCTCAATGGCCTTCAATAGCTCAGCAGAGATGTTCTCACCTTTTCGGATTTCTTCATCGTCCCGAAAGGTGTTAATTCCAGCCTGACGCAAATCTTCATAGAGATGATCGGTAAAAGATTTTCGTGTCTCTCCTCTAAAACTCAAGAAGACATCATACACGCAAGCAGTAGTAGATGAAAAAGAAGAAGAAGAAGAAGCCATATTTGAAATTGAGAACACTATCTTCTATCTTGATTTGCTGGCTGGCTAGCTAGTTCCTAAAGATTTAAAGAGCTTGGAAAACGCGTGTCTACACAGACGATATTGACTTGGATGGTCTTCTTAATAATTTCCCACTAATAATTCTACGTAGCGGGACCATCCCATTTATGACATTGCATCTTTTTCCTATACTAGACCCCATTAGCAGGCAAATTATATCGTGCACTAGGGCGCGTAGTGCATTGTACGCTCTAGTCAAAACAGACGTCGTTTTGACTATGTTTTTTAAAAAAAAAAAAAAAAAATTGTTTCCCTTTTCTACCGTTAAATTCAAAAAAAAAAATAAAAAAAATATCTCTATTTCGAATGTACATAAACTCATAACAGTATACACATAATCTAACTTAATACATGATACACATAAACTTATAACAGAATATATATAATCTAACATAATACATAATATACATAAACTCATAATAGAATACACATAATCTAACATAATACATAATACACATAAACTCATAACAGAATATATGTAATCTAACCTAATACATAATACATATAAACTCATAACATAATACACATAAACTCATAACAAAATACACATAATCTAACATAATACACAATGCACATAAACTCATAACAAAATACACATAAACTCTTAATACAATACATAAAATCTGAACAATAAAAATGACGTCGTTTTGGTTAGGGCGCACAATGCATTGTGAGCCCTGGTGCACGATATAACGACTGCATATTTTTCATTACATAACCTTTTACGTGACAGCTTACATTTCTACCATCAATCTTATTAAGTGTTCATGATTTTTACTTAATGTATAACATATGCACATAAATATATTGTTTTATTTATTTAATTATTCTTAAAATATTCTATACTTCAAATTTAAACAACAAAACTCACTTGAATACCATCTTCATTTTTATGTTTTTTTTTTTTATTTTTCTAAAAAATTAAAAGTTTCCAAAAACAAAAACGTCCTTTTAATGTTGCAACCACGGTCTTCGTTAATTGGCTTCGTCATTTTAATATAGCATATAATTTATCTTTACTAATAAATTAAAATTTAATTATACTGGAAAAATACTATAATATGCACAATTTATAAAAATTATTTATAAAAAAATTAAAATTAAACACTTATAACTATGAATAATTTTATCATACGTTAATGTAAATATTAAAGTCAGAATGTGGAATGAGATGAAGTTTTGCCTAGGATGAGGTTAGGAGGAGATTTCCCAGAGGAACTTGGGATGATGTTTGCCCAAGGGGAAAAGCATGAGGCTAATTCTAGGCATAAGTTTTGGAGAAAACTTGCAGGGAAAGAATAGCATTAAATGCTTGGAATCTCTAGGCACATGGGTTCTAGCTTGGAAAAATTTAGACACATGGGTTGCAATAAATATGACAACATCCTTCATTCATCATATCATCCCATCCCATCCCATCCGAAAATTTCCAATAGCATAGCAAATTCTGTAGAGAGTAATAGAGAGTTATATTTGTAATTCCTATTATAATATCATTTTGCTAATACAGAAAATTCTTCTTCAAATTGCCTTGCTCTGTGTATGATTTATTTTAAATCTTATACTATAAATATTCTCAATATTTCCAGTTCAAGTTGCTATTGTAAATTTGGTGTTGTGAACTCGTTTCGATCCTAACAAGTGGTATCAGAGCCTCAGGTTGGTTCATAGATATATCTCTTTTGTATCGTTTATGTTAGAATAAATACTGGTAAAATCTCAATGCCAGTATTATTCTATTATACGATACTATTTAGATATATTGTTCAGGATTTGAATCAAAACACCACTTACAATGGCGGCAAAGTATGAGATTGAAAAGTTCAAAGGGAACAATTTCTCTTTGTGGAAAATGAGAATGAAAGCAGTTCTCAAGAAAGATAACTGCGTAGCAGCAATTGAAGAAATACCAGTCGATTTCACTGACGATGCGAAGTGGACAGAAATGGATAGCAACGCTATGACCAATCTGCACTTAGCACTTGTTGATGAAGTTTTATCAAGTGTGGCGGAAAAAAGGTACGGCAAAAGAGGTATGTGATACTCTTGTAAATTTGTATGAGGCCAAATCACCGCACACCAAGATCTTCTTGAAGAGGAAATTATACACTCTCAGGATGATGGAGACATCCTCAATAACTGACCACATCAATACTCTCAACACTCTATTTTCACAACTCTCGGCGTTGAGTTATAAAATAGAAGTGAATGAATGTGATGAAATCTTACTCCAAAGTCTACCAGATTCATATGATCAACTCATTATCAATTTAGTCAACAACAAGGAGGTACTTGTCTTCGATGATATTGTAGTTGCGATTCTTGAAGAAGAAAGTCGGCGCAAAAACAAAGAAGACAAAGTTGGAATCTTGCAACAATCTCAGGCGTTGACAGTGGCAAGAGGAAAGTCATGGGGTAAGAAGAATGTCAAGTATTTTCACTGTGGCAAAAAGGGGCACTACAAGAGTGAGTGTTGGCAGCTCAAGAAGGATGAGACCAAAGGCAAAAATCCCGAGACATCAAATGCTCAGGGATGTGTTGTGAGTACATCGGATGGAGGCGAAGTTTTATTCGGTGAAGCAACAACAATTGTTGAAGGCAGGAAAAGTCTAGCTGATGTGTGGCTAATCGACTCAGGAGCAACATGGCATATGACCTCACGGAAAGAATGGTTTCATGAATATGAACCTGTCTCTGGAGGATCTGTGTTCATGAGAGATGACCATGCCTTAGAGATTGCTGGTATTGGTATTATTAAACTAAAATTGTTTGATGGTACGGTTCGCACTATCCAAGAGGTACGACACGTGAAAGGCCTGAAGAAAAATCTATTGGCTTTAGGATAATTAGATAGCCGTGAATGTAAAATTCACATTCAGAATGTGATCATCAAAGTAATCAAGGGCGTGCTTGTTGTGATGAAAGCTGAAAACGTAGCAGCAATATTTACGTGCTTAAAGGAGAAACACAACTACAAGGAGAAGCAACCGTTGCAGCAGACAATCTTATAGAGGAATCAACGATGATGTGGCATCATAAACTTGGCAACATGTCAGAACGAGGTCTAAAGATTCTTGCTGATCAACATCTTCTTCCAGGGCTAACAAAGGTTTCATTACCTTTTTGTGAGCATTGTGTTACAAGTAAGTAGCATAGATTGAAGTTCGAGAGCTCTAAAGCAAGGAGCAAAGCTATCTTGGAATTAATCCACTCCGATGTTTGACAAACACTAGTTATATCCCTAGGAGGTGCAAAATATTTTGTATCCTTCATCGATGACTACTCTAGGAGGTGTTGGGTGTATCCAATCAAGCGGAAGGCAGATGTATTTGAAGTTTTCAAATTCTTCAAAGCGCGTGTGGAACTTGAATCAGAGAAACAGATCAAGTGTTTGAGGTCGTACAATGGAGGAGAATACACTAGTGATGAATTTGATAAATTTTGTTTGCAAGAAGGTATCAAACGACAGTTCACGGTGGCGTATATTCCACAACAAAATGGAGTGGCAGAGCGGATGAACAGAACCTTATTGGAAAGAACAAGGGCAATGTTGAGGACTGCAAATTTGGCGAATTTATTTTGGGCTGAAGCAGTCAAAACCGCCTGTTATGTGATCAATCGGTCACCATCAACCGCAATTGATCTGAAAACGCCAATGGAAATGTGGACGAGTAAGCCATCTAGTTATTCTCACTTACATACATTTGGGAGTCCGGCATATGCGATATATAACGCTCAAGAAACATCAAAACTTGATTCAAAATCAAGAAAATGTGTTTTCTTGGGGTATGCTGATGAAGTGAAGGGGTATCGGCTGTGGGATCCCACTGCCCACAAGGTTATCATCAGCATGAATGTTCTATTTGTAGAAGACAAGGTACAAGAAAGTGAAAGCATTGGGAAGGAGAAACCAGTGACAACAACAGTACAAGTTGAGGGAAGGAAGGAAGGAAGAAGAAATTCCAGTTTCCCCTGAGTGTGATGTGTATGACTTGTATCTTGAGTAGTTGGATGTGAAAGCTGCATCTCTACATGGAGAACTTGAAGAAGAGATTTACATGCTCCAACCAGGAGGTTTTGAAGAAAAAGGAAAAGGGAACTTGGTTTGCAGGTTGACTAAATATCTATACGGTCTCAAACAGGCGCCGAGATGTTGGTATAAGAGATTTGATTCATTCATTTTGAGCCTTAGATACAACAAGTTTAATTCCGATCCTTGCGCATATTGCAAGAGATTTGATGATAATCAGTTTATCATCTTGCTGTTGTATGTTGACGACATGTTGGTAGTAGGCCCCAACAATGATCGTATCACGGAGATGAAGGCTCAACTGGCTAGGAAATTTGAAATGAAGGACTTGGGACCAGCAAACGAGATTCTAGGGATGCAAATTCACCGAGACAGAAATAATAGGAAGATTTGACTTTCTCAGCAGAATTATCTGAAGAAAATCTTGCGGCGCTTCAACATGAAAGATTGTAAGCCAATTTCTACCCCTCTTTCTATTAATTTCAAGTTATCCTCAAGTATGAGTCCTAGCAACAAAGCAGAGAGGATGGAGATGTCTCGAGTACCGTATGCATCAGCAGTAGGCAGTTTAATGTTTGCTATGATCTGCACTAGACCAGACATTGCACGGGCAGTGGGAGCGATCAGTCGATACATGGAGAATCCTGGTAGAGAGCATTGGAGTGCTGTGAAGAGGATCCTTAGATATATGAAGGGTACCTCAGATATTGCATTGTGTTATGGAGGATCAGACTTCATTATTAAAGGCTATGTTGATTCTGATTATCCAGGTAATCTTGATTGTAGTAAATCCACCACGGATTATGTGTTTACTCTTGCTAGCGGAGCAGTAAGCTGGGTCTCGAAGTTGCAGTTGGTTGTGGCAACTTCAACGACGGAAGCATAATATATAGCAGCTACTCAGGCTAGTAAAGAGGCAATATGGTTGCAAATGCTATTAGAGGAGCTCGTGCACAAATTAGAGACAATGACTCTATTTTGTGACAGTCAGAGCGCTTTGTACTTGACAAAGAATCCAACATTTCATTCCAAGACGAAGCACATACGAGTTCAGTATCACTTTGTTTGTGAGAATGTGGAAGAAGGAAGTGTGGATATACAAAAAATCCATACTAAAATTATAACCTGGCAGATATGTTAACAAAGCCTGTTACCAATGATAAATTCGTATGGTGTAGATCCTCAATTGGCCTAACAGGAATGCAAGCAGCATGGAATTGGCAAAACGGATGAAGATCTACATTATGACTTTAAGTGGGAGATTTGTAAATATTAAAGTCAGAATGTGAAATGGGCAGAGGTTTTGCCTGAGATGAGGTTAGGAGGAGATTTCCAAAAGGAACTTGGGAGGAGGTTTCCTAAGGGGAACTTGGGAGGAGGTTTGCCTAAGGGGAAAAACATGGGGCTAATTCTGGCAAATTATGTTGTGCATCCGTATGCACCATATACAGATGCAAAAACGACGTCGTTTTATTAAAAACGCGTGTCTCCCCTTAAAAAAAAATTCAGGTTCGATTCCCAGCAACAACATATGAACTAAAATTCCAGAATCGATGAACTATAATTCCAGAATCGATGAACTATAATTCCAGAATCTATGAACTATAATTCCAGAATCTAACCTATGAACTAAAAATTCCAGAATGAATGAACTAAAATTCCAGAATCTATGAACTAAAATTTCAGAATCGATGAACTACAATTCCAGAATCGATGAACTATAATTCCAGAATCAATGAACTAAAATTCCATAATCTATGAACTAAAATTCCAGAATGAATGAACAAAATAATGCTATTGCTGGGAATCGAACCTGAATTTTTTTTTAAGGGAAGATGCGCGTTTTTAATAAAACGACGTCGATTTTGCATCCGTATGCACCATGCATGGTGCATACGGATGCACAGCATAACTATCCGGCTAATTCTAGGCATAAGTTTTGGAGAAAACTTGTAAGGAAAGAATAGCATTAAATACTTGGAATCTCTAGGCACATAGGTTCTAGCTTGGAAAAATCTAGACACATGGGTTGCTATAAATAAGGCAACATCCTTCATTCATCAGATCATCCCATCCCATCCGAAAATCTCCAGTAGCATAGCAAATTCTGTAGAGCGTAATAGAGAGTTATATTTATAATTCCTATTGTAATATCATTTTGCCAATACAGGAAATTCTTCTTCAAATTGCCTTGCCCTGTGTATGATTTATTTTAAATCTTACACTAGAAATATTCTCAATATTTTCAGTTCAAGTTGCTATTATAAATTTGGTGTTGTGAACCCGTTTCGATCCTAACACTTCAAAAAATGAATAATTTTATCAAATTTGTTGACTTATTCAATCCATTAAAAGAATTTAGATAACTATCTTAAATAAACAAATGAAATAATGAAGAAAATTGTTGCCAACCTTCTGGCACAATAATCCAATCGAAGTGACAAGAGACCAGCTATACAAATTAGGCCATTAGAGTAACCCCAGCTAAAATAGCAAGAGATTTAAACTTAACTACAAGATCACGAGTTTAAATCTCTGTCCCCTTAGTTTGAGTCAATTAATTATGGATAACTTAGGCTAGTTTACCTATGATTCTTTACCGATTGAAGTCACAAAGCGGGATTTATTCACCCTTGAAAGGATGGTGGGGTTTCGTTAAACCCTTATAATACTAAATAATTTGTTCAAATTTGTTGACTTATTAAGTGAATTAACAAAAAATTATATAACTATATTAGATAAACAACTTCGAGTGCTTTCATATAGGAAAAAGCCTGCACACACATTAAAAAGTAAATTTTGGAGAGATTGATACTCAAAAATTTCAATGCCAAATAAATTAAACAAATGCAATAGAGAAGAATTCTAGCCGACCTTTCAACAAAACAGTCCATTTAAAATTGCAGGTCTCTGATCTTTGTCGTCACGATAAATCTTACAGATAGTATCAAATAGTGACAACAAGTTCTCCTCTGTAACCAAAAAAAATACAACTAGTTTACCAACAACATCTTCTTCTGCATACACCTCCCTTCTCCAATCACTGTTGCCAGTAATATATACATTCAGCTTTTTGCCATAGAATCCAAGAACCAATGGTTTAGCATCTCACATTAACACCAACTCCATCAAACTCATTATGATCAAAACCCCTGCAATTTGTTATCTCAACACAAAATAAAGATTCAAGACTCTCCAATCTCGGAAGCTCAACCAAACTTTTGCAATTGGGAATATACAACTCCTTCAGTCTTTTCAAAACAAAAGTAGTGCTACTCTAACAGGCGTAATTGAAGTTGATGAGTGGGTAAAGATGCAGCAGCAATCCATCCCCTATTGGATGGGAAGAACCTCACTTCTCCATATCTGTTTCTATGTATTTCAACTACACAAAGTATCTTCTGCACATCATGGAAATGTGCATACAACTCCATTACTTCTTCAATCCTTGTTGGGATCTCAAATTCAATTTCCTCATATTCTTTGATCCCAATATATTGAGGAGGTTCCTTTACAATCCAAGCCCCACTGCTTTTGCTTCTCACGCTAACACCAACTCCATTAATGTGATCATCATTCAAGAGAGGGAACAACATTTCAAACCCATACTGCCTCCAATGTGTTGGAATTCGATCTGCAACTTACAGAACTTACCTACAATATAACAAAACACCAAATCAAAGAGCGCGAGTCTCTAGTGAGACGGGTCGGTTCAATATAGCTTATGCTAAAAAATGTAATGCATAATACTTTTGAGAAATTAAAAAAATTTAATACTTCTTTGAAATCAAAATGTAATATTTAGTGGTTGATCAGTTAATCATGAAAAGAAACGTAATTCTCGTCATGGATAAATTGATTGATTGTTACTATGAAGAAAATGAGATCAGACGACATTCTTGATAAAAAATATAATGTAATACTTTTAAATCAAAATCTAATATTAGGAGTTGAAGAGTTGCTTATTAGAAAAATTGTTATACTTATGAGGGAAAATGTAATGCTTATGAAAAACTTGACCCGTTTGACCGTTTCGATCTGTGAGATAGTCTCATATGAGATTTTACCCTCAATGAGATATGCTAACACTATCAAGGAGTTGATGATCATGTCTCAAAAGTGTTGGAACACTGCAACTTACATATCTAATGACTTGAACCCAAATCTTCACATTATTACCTTCACAACGTGCCTACATTATGGATTACAATATACCAATTAAAGTGATAGATCGAGATGGATCAGGGGAGGGAACATTACATATATATAACTAACCTGGTACCAATTTTCAATCAAAGGACTGCAGTTTGCTATTGCAAGACGTTGTAAGAATTCAAGACTCCCCACCTGGAAGTTCAACCAAACTTTTGCAATTCTCAAAGTTCAACTCTCTATTTCTTCCAATGGCACACAATTTTCTGCGGAGAGTAGATGCAAATTAGGAGGAAGGTCTTGAAGTGCTTTATTAGAGTAGCTACTGTTAGTTAAAAAGTTAGTTATATCTGTTAGATTAGTTCTGTAATAGTTAGTTAGTCTTCTGTTAGCTAAGCACTGTTCTATTAAGTCTCTGTATGTATGAACAGAAGTCAGTTGAATCATTCAGAATACGCAGAGCCTTAGAAATGTGTAATGTTAAAAGAAGCATTAGACATACAAACTTGCATATTGGATGAAATTCTTAATTTGATAATGCTATCTTGGAGCCCATACAATCTAAGTTTATTGGACAAATATTTAAAAGATTCTCTAAAAACCAGACAATCCAATAAGCATATTCCTAAATTTAATTATTATCACCCTATTGAATACTTTAATTAAGACGCTAGAATTTACGATCATCCCTTCATTTGCTTATGTGCTCTAAAAATTAGATATTCTAAAATCGTTCATATTTTAATAAAACAAAGTATTTTTAATTAATCACGCTTATGTTCCATGCATTCTCTAGTGAAGTATGATTTTTTCTTAAGTATTTCACGCTTTAAAATTCTCAATCATCTAAAACGCTACTCCATTTAAATAAAATAGAGGATTTTAATCACTTTCTATTTTTCTAGTCAAAGTTCTTAGGAAATATGGAAAGTTAAAAGAAGCTAAGCATTAGACATACTAACCTGCATGTTGGGTTGAAATTCTTCGATATTGCTACCTTTCAAGTCTAACTCAGCAAGTTTCTCAAAGCGAAAATCTGATGATATGCAGCTCAAATGGCAATTATGCAATCTAAATAGCCTAAGCGTATTAGACAAATATTTAAAAGATCCTTTAAGAAGCACACCATCAAATATGAGTATTCTTACATTTACCATCCTTGTGAATACTTTGGTATTCAAAACCACATTCTTTATGATGTCTGAATTTACAAGCACCCATTCAATTGCTTCCATGCCCTAGAAATAAAGAATTTTATATCGCAATATTTTAGATGTTCTAAAATCTTTAATACTTTAATAAAACTAAATATTACTAGCAAATGAATTAACTAGTAACTAGATTAATAACTTAAATAGAAAAGAAAAGTTTTACCTTGTTGCCTTCAAGAACATCAAAGACATCATTTGGTTCCACCAATCTACTTCATTGGTGGCCAGGATGTTTTCGAGATTCCTTTCGAACAATTCTCTTCCCATACCCCGTACTAAATCGTGCATTTGATCTCAAGCCTGTCAAATTCTCCACCACCATGTATTGTTAACAAACATCTTTCTGTTGAACTTCTGATTCCACTTTCAGCAAAAAAACCACAAGCTTCAAAGATCATAGCAGTGTCCTTTTTGTCATATCTAAATGATAATGTTTGAAGATTCCATTCTCTAGTGTAGTATGATTTTTTCTTAACTATTTCGCACTTTAAAATTCTCAATCATATATTCTGCTACAGTATTAAATAAAATAGAGAATTTTAATCAATTTCTATTTTTCTAGTCCAAGTTCTTAGGAAATATGTAAGGTTAAAAGAAGCATTAGACAAACCAACCTGCATACTTCACATCAACAAACTAACAGATCATATCAAAGGAGTGAAACGGGGATGTTTGTTCTGGTTATAACCACCTCTGCCGGATAGTTCTGCCGCCTCTACCTATCTGCACCTCCCTTTTCCTCTTCCTCTGTCCATCTTCCAGGGTCTGACATGACAGAAGGAATCCATCCCCTTGTGGATGGAAAGAAACGAACTTCCTCTTCACTGTTTCTATGTATTTCAGCTACACAAAATATCTTCTGCAAAGACTGAAATTCTGCATACACCTCAAATATTTCTCCCATCTTTGTTTGAATCTCATAGTTGCAATTTCCTCTCTCCTTTAGAAGAATCCAAGCGCCACTGCTTTTACTTCTCACACTCAAACCAATTATATCACTGGCATCAATCGCACTGTGCATGATATTAAGGCTTGCATTCGTTAAAGGAAAATGGCAGGATACCGATCCAACGCTCAATAGTTGAACTGAAATCTCGATACTATCACCTTTAGAACATGCCTACATTATGAAATACATACATAAAATATAACGATTAATAATACCTTAACTATTACCATCTATTCTAATATAATATCAGATCGAGATGAAGGGAACATACACACACACACATATATACTAACCTTTAACCACTTTTCAATTGAAGGAATCCTCAAACCACTGCAATTTCCTATCCCAAGATATTTTAAGGATGAAATACTCTCCAAGCCTGAAAGCTCAACCAACCTTTTGCAGTTATGAATATCTAGCTCATAAAGTCTTTTCAAGTTGGATAGATCTGCTATCTTTTCTAATGAGACACAATTCTTTGCAGAGAGTAGTTCCAAACTAGGAGGAAGTTGTGGAAGTGATCTAAGATTCTGCAGATTGTCCAAGCAGAGACACTCCAAATTGGAATATTGATGGCAAAGGCTTAATGGTAAACTTTGAAGATAATATCTTCCCATTAAATCTCTTTCTTTCGATGAGGACAAACTCCTAAGGCCAATTGGAAGATCTTCTTCATGCAAATAGTTGTCAGGAATAGTCAAAGCATTGCAATTCCTTATGTCAAGATATTCTAAGGATGAAAGACTCTCAACGTTTGGAAGCTCAACCAAACTTTTACAGTTTTCAAGTAACAACCATCTAAGTCTCTTCAAGTTTGATACAGCTGTTATCTTTTCCAATGAGACACAATTGTCTGCATAGAGTCCCACCAAGCTTGGAGGAAGTTCTGTAAGTACTCTAAGATTTTGCATATTGTTCAAGTAGAGATATTTCAAGTTTGAAAGGTGACAAAGGCAGAAGGGTAAACTTTGAAGATAACTTCTACCTGATAAATCTAACTCTTCCAATGAGGTCAAATTCTCATCAATAAATTCCAAGGAACACAACTTTGCAACTGAAGGTGGAAAAAAACCAACACCATCACGACTTCTTCTTGACAGTACAGAACTCTTGTAGTCCCCCAAATCCAGTTTCTTTATATTTCTCAAACATCCCAAAGAAAATGGTATATCTGAGATGGCAGTTCCATAAGCAAGTAAATCTCTTAGTTGCTCTAATTTTCCCAAGTCAATTGGAAGCTCCCCCAGTTTTTCGCATTTATTTAAACATAAACGTTTAAGTGATTTTAACTTGCAAATGCTACTTGGAAGAACCTTGAGTTTCTTGCAACGATAGAAATCTAACTCAACAAGTCTCTCCAAACTTCCAATTGATGGGTGTACCTTGATCAAATTTAAACAATACACAAAGGATACTTTTTGAAGAGTATGTGCCCCAGTGAAGTTTGGTGTTTTCTTAAGTTGATGACAATAATCAAACTTCAAGATCCTCAAGCATCTAAAATGCTGTTGAAAAAAAAAAAAAAAGTAGAAAAAGGTTTAATCAATTTTTATTTTTCTAGTCAAAGTTCTTATTTAAGAAATATGCAATGTTGAAAGAAACATTAGACATACTGACCTGCATATTGCATTGGAATTCTTTGATATTACTACCTTCCATGTCTAACTCAACAAGTTTTTCACAGCGAAAATTAGATGGTATGCAACTCAAATGACAATTGTGTAATCTAAGAAACCTAATCTCATTGGATAAATATTTAAAAGATCCGCTGAGACACATACCATTCAATATGAGTATTCGTAACTTAACCATCCTTTTGAATACTTGAGTATTCAAAGGCACATTCTTTAACATGTTAGAATTTACAATCATCCCTTCAATTGCTTTTGTGCCCTATAAAAAAATCATTTATATAACAATATTTTAGATTTTAGATATTTTGAAATCTTTGATTTTAATAAAGTTATTTAAGTATAGAAAGTAAATGAATTAACTAGAACAACTCAAATACAATGGAATTTTTTTACCTTGTTCCCGTGAAGCACATCAAAGACATCCTTTGGGTCAATCAATCTACTTTGTTTGTCCGGCTCTCCTGGAGATTCCTTTTGAACAATTTCTCTTCCCATATCTCGTACTAAATCATGCATCTCAAGCGTCTCAAACTTCCCACCTCCATTTGTTGTCAACAAGCATCTTTCAATCAAAATTCTTATTCCACTTTTAGCATAAAAACAACAAGCTTCCAATATCATAGAAGTATCATTTTTGTTATGCCCAATAAAAAAACAAGCAATATCAAGGAAGATGTTCTTAGTATCATCATCAAGTGCATCATAACTTATTTTAAGCATTTTTTGAACATCTTCATGAGGATTGCTTCTTAATTTCTCAGCATCTTCGAACCACTCTTGCACGGATCTTCCACGCAAATGAGAACCTATAATTGTAAGTGCTAATGGAAGTCCGCCGGTATAACTTGCTATCCTTTTGGGTAGTTCATTATACTCCTCTAATGGTACATGAACTCCAAAAGCATGCAAACTTAAGAGTTGCAACGAATCATCAACGCTTAATGTGTTAACCATATACTTCTCTTGTGTTCCAAGGTCACTCAACATATGAACATCTCTAGTTGTTAGTATAATTGTACTACCTGAACCAAACCAATTCCGTTGTCCTGCTAAAGATTCTAGTTGAGTTATGTGGTCTATGTCATCAAGAACAATAAGAACCTTTTTTGATTGCAATCTTGTTTTGATCAAGATTATTCCTTCATCAACGTTATCAATTCCAAAATTCTTTCTCTTGAGTGTTTTGCGAAGAAGCATTTCTTGTAAACCAACTAGTCCATTGTGTTGCTTATTAGAAACTTCTTGTCTAATATTTGCAACAAAGCAACTACCTTCAACCCCGTGACAACTCATGATCAAGTGATTATATATGGCTTTAGCAATCGTTGATTTTCCCACACCACCCATGCCATAAATTCCAATCATTCGAACACTATCATTTGTTTGAATTTGCAATAAATGAAGTATATCTTGAACACGAGAATTAATTCCAACAGGGTGCTTTGCAACATTCATGGGCATAAAATTTAACACCCCTAGCACATCTTTAGTGATTGCCTCAATGAACTTTGACTCATACCTGGTCACATTTTAAATTTATGGCATATATTGGAAAAAAAATAAAGGAAAAAAGCACAAAATTAAGATCAGAGTATAATTCATCCATACTTATAGGCAAGAAGTATGAAAGAAATTTGCATCTTTAAAATATAGAACACTATCAATACAAGAAAACAGCTCATTACTGGTCCAAAGGTACTAATTAAAATTCCACAGAAAATTCAATTTTCAAATACGGATTTATGTTCAGAACCTACAAGCAAAAATTATTTAAAAAGCAGATGCAGATTCTTCTCCAATTATTTTTAAATTTTTTATTTAAAAAAATTACCATAAATATGAATTTACTATATGAGTAAGTGTCTTAGATTGTGACAAAAATCCAAAAATAAAAGAAAATTTAAAAGAGTTACGATTACCGAATTTTCATGGTTTGTAAATCCCATCCAGACAAATTAGCAGCTGCAGTGAGTGCAACTTTCCACTCATTAACTTTTTGATCTTCAAATCGTTCTCTATGTCGGGTCAATGCATCACCAAACATGTCAGTCTGTTTCCGAACCACTGAAGGATCAACATCGTAAAATATAGGAAAAACAATCTGGTTCAACTTCTGTTTACATTCCATGATCTTCACAAGCTCATCTAGGCACCATCTAGATCCGGCATAGTCTTTGGAGAATACGATGATGGATATCCTCGACTCCTCTATGGCCTTAGACAGCTCAACAGAAATATCCTCGCCTCTCCGAATCGATTCATCATCTCGAAAAGTGTTAATCCCAGCTCGCCTCAAATCTGCATAGAGATGATCAGAAAAGGACCCTCGTGTCTCACCTCTAAAACTCAAGAAAACATCATATGTGCGAGCATATGATGAAGAAGAAGATGATGATGATGCCATACTTGAAATTGAGTATACTAAAGCTAGATTTTCTAGCAGAATTCCTTAGAGCTATTAACTAAATATTTAAAGAGATACAAAAGGCCGTGTAGCAGACTAGCAAAGGATGAAGAAGGCAGCTTGCCTAGAGCTTTGAAAATGCAATAATCAAATACATGTTAGTTGTCCCATGGAGCCATTGACTTCAATTTCAATTCTTTTTTTCTTTTTTTTTTTCAGAAACTAAATATTTGGCCCTTTAATGACTATTGAGTATTGACTTGGTATTTTTCATAATATTATTTTTTTTCCAGAAACTTTATATACCATCAACGCCAATAAATGCTTGTAATTTTATTGGAGATTTATATAGGGAATGATGATGATTGATTTTAGAGTTAATTCCAGCAATGGTCTCCAAGTATGATGATTTTCTAGATTTAGTCCTAGACTTTTAATTTGGACAATTTAACCCCCCGTCTATTAAATTTTTTCCAATTGAGGTCCTTCCATCAATTGTCGGTTAAGTGAGCGTCAATTTCAGGGGTAAATGGGTAATTTTACTTACCTGCGGTGGAGGTCTACAAACAGGCTGTGAGCACTCTGTTCTCTTCTCTCCAGTGTGATCAGCTACAATGCTGTCAATCCCTCGAACATCATTCATGCCAGAAATTGATCCTTTTATGGCCTTCAAATCTCTATTTACAGTCGATCCTAGGGAAGTTGGTGCAATCCCTTTTCCTTGCATCAACTTGCCTTTCAATTTCTGGCAGAATAGTGTTTCCAACGAGCTCATATTCTTGATTTCTTCGATTTTTGATTCTCCATTCACTCCAAAAGCTTCCGTGACATCCTGAGCCAAATACTCAGCCAGGAGATCCACCATCTGCATCGGATTGTTACCAGATTTCTTGCGGAGATCTTCCATTACCGCTTCATCTATTTGCATCTCAGGTAAGTAAAATTACCCATTTGCCCCTGAAATTAACGCTCACTTAACCCACAATTGACGGAAGGACCTCAATTGGAAAAAAATTAAATAAACGAGGGGTTAAATTGTCCAAATTAAAAATCTAAGACTAAATCTGGAAAATCATCATACTTAGGGAACCATTGCTGGAATTAACTCATTGATTTTATGTACTTGAATGTGGAAATTAGATATTTAAATTGTATTTTAGTATTATGAAGTTGCAGCAGTGGGACTAAAAAATTCAATGGTGAAAAACAAAGAGTAATTTTTATTTTATTTTTTTTATGTTGGTCCCTTGACTTGGTCTTTCTTAACTCATCACAATTGTTATGCCGTGCAACCGTGTGTACCGTTCTTGGTACACACGGTTGAAAACGGCACCGTAAAGTGCCAGGGAAGTAACGGTGCCGTTAGTGGCACCGTTTCACTCATCCCTATATTTAAAAAAAAAAATATTATTATTATTGCCATAAAACGCCACTACACTCCTTTTTCCGCCATTTTCAACATTTCGTCTCCAACAAGCTACACACTTCCTTCGCACTGTAGCAGTCTTCATCTCTCTCTCTGTCTACTCGGAGTCGCGATTTTCGCCGTCTTCATCTCATTGTCGCCGGAGCGTGTTTTGTTCACCATTGTCGCCATTTTCGCCATTTTCATTCTAGCATTGTCGCCCGTTATCATCGCATTCTCCATCAGGTATAATGTATTTTTGTGATTTTTTACTGTTAACGTTGTGTTTTTTGACTGTTAACATTCATATTCGCTGTATATTCTTGTTATTTTTTACTAGGGTTTTGCAACACGATTTTGCATTTTTCTCAAACAGATCAATACTCTGTTTTTTTTCTGTTTCTTTGATTGTTTTTTGGTGTTTTCTAAAATGTTTTTGGACAAATAGTTGTGATATTGTGGATATATAGCTTTATACTTGTGGTTTTATAGTTTAATACTTATGCATGTCTGAAAATATCATTCCTCTCTTCAATTATTGTGTTTCTGAAATGTTTGTGGACAAATAGTTGTGATATTGTGGATATATAGCTTTATACTTGTGGTTTTATAGTTTAATACTTATGCATGTTCGAAAATATCATTCCTGTCTTCAATTAGTGTGTTTCTGAAATGTTTGTGGACAAATAATTGTGATATTGTGGATATATAACTTTATAATTGTGGTTTTATAGTTTAATACTTATGCATGTATGAAAATATCATTCCTGTCTTCAATTAGTGTGTTTTCTGAAATGTTTGTGGACAAATAGTTGTGATATTGTGGATATATAGCTTTATAATTGTGGTTTTATAGTTTAATACTTATGTATGTATGAAAATATCATTCCTGTCTTCAATTAGTGTGTTTTCTGAAATGTTTGTGGACAAATAGTTGTGATATTGTGGATATATAGCTTTATAATTGTGGTTTTATAGTTTAATACTTATGCATGTATGAAAATATCAGTCCTGTCTTCAATTAGTGTGTTTTCTGAAATGTTTGTGGACAAATAGTTGTGATATTGTGGATATATAGCTTTATAATTGTGGTTTTATAGTTTAATACTTATGCATGTATGAAAATATCATTCATGTCTTCAATTAGTGTGTTTTCTGAAATGTTTGTGGACAAATAGTTGTGATATTGTGGATATATATCTTTATAATTGTGGTTTTATAGTTTAATACTTATGCATGTATGAAAATATCATTCCTGTCTTCAATTAGTGTGTTTTCTGAAATGTTTGTGGACAAATAGTTGTGATATTGTGGATATATAGCTTTATAATTGTGGTTTTATAGTTTAATACTTATGCATGTATGAAAATATCATTCCTGTCTTCAATTAGTGTGTTTTCTGAAATGTTTGTGGACAAATAGTTGTGATATTGTGGATATATATCTTTATAATTGTGGTTTTATAGTTTAATACTTATGCATGTATGAAAATATCATTCCTGTCTTCAATTAGTGTGTTTCTGAAATGTTTGTGGACAAATAGTTGTGATATTATGGATGTATAGTTTAATAATTCTTATTTACAGAAATGGCTCGTGAACCTACACTGGCTGAGGATCTTAGAGAAACAAAAAGAAGAAGAAGAGAGTACCGGACAGCAGCAATTCTAGATTCACAAGCAGCTCAGAGCTCTAATCCAACTAGTGAACAACCAGCAGCAGCCCTAAATTCACAAGCAGCTCAGCGCTCACGCCCTGCTAAGGAAACAACTGTTGCAGAGACTTCAACGAGACGGCGCCGACGAACTAGAGAACACAGGAGAGATTACTTCAATACGAGGATGGGGCCAAAGCTGATGTTTGATCTTGTCCAGAGGCTCTCACCACGACAGAAACAAGCTGTCGTAGAAACTGGATTTGGTGGACTTCTTCATCTCCAACTCTGCACCAATGAATCAAAGTTGGTGCAATACCTGCTGGACAACTTTAATGTTTGCAGGTGTGATTTTGTATTAGAGGATGATAGTCTCCATATTGAAGAGGAAGATGTCGAATACACGTTGGGAATCCCGCGAGGGCCTCTGAAGGTCAATGAGGGGACAAAGATGGAAGACACCTCAACCCGTGAATACAAACTGCTGCTGACTTCATGGAGAAGGAGGTGGGGTATTACAGCAGGCTCGCCAATAACTACACAGATGCCAGATGAGATTGTTAGGAGAGCTGATCATGGTGATGAGTTCAAGAGGGATTTCGTAGTCTTTGCCGTTTCCTCCATGCTTCGAGGAAACACAACACGCTACTCCAAGTACAGGATCTTAAACTCATTGATTGATGTTGATATGATTAAAGAGTACAATTGGTGCGCCTACACATACCAATCTCTCATTGACTCGATAGATAGTTACAATGAAGATAGAAAGAGAAGCTTTTGGGGGCCAATGACATTGATATTGGTCAGTTCTTATTGTCTTTAATCTAGTTGCATGAATTTTATGTAGTTGTAGGTGTATAACTAACAATTTATTATGGATATATATGCATGAAACTTGGAATATACTCAGTTTAATAAGATCCTTTATGTAGTTTAATTTGTGGATATATAGTTTTAAAATTGTGGATATATAGTTATGTGATTATGGATATATAGTACTCTGTGAATATATGAATGTATTACTCTGTGGACATACTGTTAATAATTCTGGATATATATTAATGTGTTTTTGGATGTATAGTTATGGGTTTATGGATATATATGCATGACACTTGGAATACACTCAGTTTAATGAGGTCCTTTATGCAGTTTAATTTGTGGATATATAATTTTAAAATTGTGGATATATAGTTATGTGATTATGGATGTGTAGTACTCTGTGAATATATGTATGTATTACTCTGTGGACATACTAGTAATAATTCTGGATATATATTAATGTGTTTTTAGATGTATATTTATGGGTTTATGGACATATATGCATGAAACTTGGAATATACTCATTTTATTAATATCATTTTTTATTTCTGAATTTTGTGGATATATAGTTTTAAAGTTATGGATATATAGTTATGTGATTATGGACATATAGTTATGCATTACACTGTGACCATGCAATTAAGAATACATGGATAAATTGTTCTAAATTCATCTTTAACATAATCTTCTGTAATTTGTAGCTGTTCTACTTTGATCGAGTAGAATTCAAAGGAATGAAGATCAACAGAACATACCGTAGCATACTTGCTTGGACAACCACGCTTGTAAGAAAGAGAGTCAAGGCTGAAAAAAGGGCTGGTGGGTTTGGAAAAGGAAGGGTTATCCCTAGAGTTAAGAAGCCAAGGACTGATGCTACCACCTCACTGCAACAACCTGCAAGCACTGCTGCTGCTACAACCTCACTACCACAACCTGCATTTACTGCTGCTGCTACTACTTCTTCTACTCCTGCTACTGCAACACCGACACCAACTACAAGTGAGCCACTCTCAAGTGTTGATCGGGTGACCCGTGTGCTCCAAAAGCTAGCATCAGATGTCCTGGAGTTTGGTGAAGCTATGTCTGAAATTGGAAAGCATGGCGCACCTATTGAAGTCATGAAGAAAGCGTTCTCAGGGATATCAAACATGCTAGGTGCTGCAAGCGCAATTGAATCAACTTCCATTCCAACTGAATCTCAGTTGGATGACATATTCTTTGGGAGTGAAACCTTCACCGCTGCAGTGGATTCATTGGTGGAAGCATTTCAGAAGACAACAAGAACCATGGAATTTGAAGCTCCATCATTTGATTTGGGAATACACTGCAATGAATCGCAACCACAGCCATGTGAGCAACACACAGAGCAAGTAGTTGAAGAGGACCTACCATTGGATGCTTTGGTTCAACAAATTGGAGAGGATGCAGGACTGTCAACGACCTTGGGAGCACAAGTAACTCCTCCACTTGTTAGGGTCCCATTTCAGAGATATGTTCGTCATGCCGCTGCTACTGATGCTGATGTTGATGACTTTGATTGGTAAATTTACAGTTTGTTATTTGCATTTGGCTTTAACGTTATGAATTTATAGTGCTAAAATTATGAATATAAACTTATGAACATTTTTACAACTGTGGACATATAGCTTTAAAATTGTGGATATATAGATATAAAATTATGAACATTTTAAATCTGTGAATATATAGTTCTATGATTATGTACATATATGTTTAATATTATGGATATAAAGTTCTAATACTGTGGATATATAAACAACAGTGCCATGCAAGAAAGTGAGTCTGATGTTGAGGACGTGACTGTTAGGATGAGACCCCAGCGACGATTCAGGAACAAGCCTCTTTGTTTGAGGTCACCATACTGGACATAGAATGCAGGTTTTATACGAACTGCAACTCCACGGGAAAAAATCATTTCAAACTATGCATTCTTGAGTGTGTCTACCGAACACCCAGAAGAGTATGTTTGAACACATATATTTATAATAACCTTTAAATTACTTAGATAGTTCATATTATTATAACTATTGGTGTTATTATTATTATTGTTATTTTGGTGCTGTAGTGAGTTGCTGTTCAGCTATGGTGACTACTACCTAACAAGGCGTCACTTCTCAACTTTGAGCAATGGCGAGTTGGATATAGACTTCTTGAATATTTGGTCTTTGCGGCTAACTTTGAAGAACACAGAACGTGCTGTTGGGATACCAAAACGCGTATTCTTCACCACACTGCCACATGTAAGAGTTATTTTTGACATGCAGATGCGCATTTTTAAAAATCTAGTACTCTAAGCCTTTTGAATACTCATTTTTTGCATTTCTGTGTATTCAAAAACAGCTGCAGCTTGATCCATCTGATGATTGGATGAAAAGTCTCCCAGCTGAGAAAAGGATGGAAAATTTCAATGATAGATTGAATTATGAAATATCAAGTTTTGGAAACCTGGAAATCAGTGATGCAGACCTTGTAAGATCTATTACACACACTTAATTTAATAATTTAAGATTTTATTATTGATATATATGCATGAAGCTTGGAATATACAAAGTTTAATAAGATCCTTTATAAAGTTCTGAATTTGTGGATATATAGTCTTAAAATTGTGGATATATAGTTATGTGATTATGGATATGTAGTACTCTGTTAATATATGAATGTATTACTCTGTGAACAGACTGTTAAGAATTCTGGATATATGGTAATGTAGTTTTTGGATGTATAGTTATTAATTTGTGGATTTATATGCTTGAAGCTTGGAATATACTCGGCTTATTAGGATCTTTATAAATTTCTGAATTTTGTGGATATATAGTTTTAAGATTGTGGATATATAGTTTTATAATTATGGATATATAGTACTCTGTCAAATATGAATGTATACCCATGCAGTTAACAGTACCTGGGTATGTAGTTGTTTCAAATAATAACCTTTTGTTTTGGAATTAGATATTTTTCCCAGTGCATCGCCATGCACACTACTTTGTTGTGTGCATAAATGTCAAGGAATCCAAGGTTCAGGTGATAGACAACAAGGAATTGCCTGCTGGTGTTTCAGAGCTTGATAAATATGGGGACTGTCCATACAAACTGGTAGCTTATATTATATTAAAAAATCTCCTTATTGTCACCTATATATTGAATTTAAAACATTATGAACATTGAGCTAATTTTTTACCAGATTGAAGCATTCAAGGCGTACCTGGCAGCAGGACAATCCACCTTGACTCACAAACTGAACAGCATGCCAGTAGAGTTCCTTGCCATGCACTGGAAAAATGCAGAGAATGTCACCGACTGTGGCATATATGTAATGCGGCATATGGAGACTTACATGGGTGGAGCTTTCGAGAACTGGGATCCTGGGTTCAAGAAACATATGCGCACGAATGTAAGAGTAACATAAATATATTACATTCCAACTACATCAACAAGTGATGAAAAAATTACAATGAACTAGTTATTTATTTTTCTTATTTTACAGGCTAGCTTCATTTTTGAGTTGAGGGCAAAGTATGCTGCTTGTATCATCACGTCAAAGCTGAACAGCGTCAAAGGCGAGGTCATGAAAGCTGCAAAGATTGAAGACAAGAAGAAGTAAAACTGGAAAGATCAATGAATGTTTTTGTGGATGAATATTTTAATATTTTCTGTTCTTATGGTCGTTTTGTAACAACTCTATCACAATTTTTGAAATTTCGATCTATGAAATTCACTGAATATATAGTTCTCATATTATGGACATGTAGGTTTAAGATTGTGGATGTATGGATATAAAATTATGAACATCTTACATAAGTATAAACATACCGTTCAAATATTCATATATTCATATTTCAAGAATTATGGACATATAGGTTTAAGATTGTGGACATATTGATATAAAGTTATGAATATTCGTTCAACTGTGAACTTACATTTTATATAAGTGTAAACATCAAGTTCACCAGTTTACATATTGATATATAGCTTTAATATTGTGGATATAATGATATAACATTATGAACACTTTTACTAATTTGACACACAATTCCAATATTTTGTGGTCATATAGTTCTCAGAATTATGGACATATAGGTTTAAGATTGTGGACATATTGATATAAAGTTATGAATATTCGTTCAACTGTGAACTTACATTTTACATAAGTGTAAACATCAAGTTCACCAGTTTACATATTGATATATAGCTTTAATATTGTGGATATAATGATATAACATTATGAACACTTTTACTAATTTGACACACAATTCCAATATTTTGTGGTCATATAGTTCTCAGAATATGTATGTATAGCTCTAATATTATGGATATATAGCTTTAGTATTATGGATATGTAGCTTTAATATTATGGATATATAGCTTCAAACCTGCAAATGAACAAGTACTAAAATTTTGAATACACAGATCAAACAACTTGTAAATTGATATCCTCAAAACAGCTAGCTACCAACTGGTATTAACCCCACTCTCAATCTACAACTGCATTATCATCTACATCATTACTATACTGACAAAACTCCGAACTCCCAGAACTTGGATGTACAAGGTACCCATCCCCGGCAATCTCAGATAGACTTTCCAAAACCAACGACTGAACAGCACCCTTTGTACTCGAAGCAACTTTATTTGCAGCACTCCTCCTCCCCCTTGCAGCACTGTACTTCTTTTCAATAACACTACTCCTCCTTACGTTACGCTCACCTTTTGATCTCCGGTTTGAAGGATTTTGAATGACACCACTTGAAGATGAAACACCGCACTCTTCAATATGCACATAGCCAATCTCAGCTTCAACCTTTTTCTTTGCTTCCTCAACTGCTTCATCACAGAACTGCCTAGTTACACTGTTCTCTTGACTAGATGAAATCAGTCTTTGAAACTTTCTGCAAATCTCCACAACCCAAATTGAAGGAGGGACACCAGCTCTACAAAACATTGAACCAGTATTCACATCCCTACCATCAGCAACCTTTTTAGTCCACCTTTTCATGATATATTTGTTAGGAATACTTGAAACACAGTGTATATGAAGAATGCGTAAACAATGGCAGCATAAAATTCCTAACTCCGAAATCAACTTGCAACTACACGAAATGTCTAAGGTTGACAACTTAAAACTGACTTCATGCCTTATAATATCTATATCTGGACGCCATACGTGATACTTGAACTGACAACCTTCATTCAACACCATTTCTTGATGACAGGCATTGCCTTTCATGAATTGTTCCTCAAACAAAAAATATATCTCAATCGTATATACCTCTCTAGCGTGTAACAGAAGTTTCACGTGCTCCATCATCATGTTGGGTACCCCTTGAGTACAACGAAAGTCTTCACCATTCTCTTTGCTCCTCCATTCAGAAGTTACACTAACAAACGATGAATAAAAATCACATAGACCTGCAGTCTTGAACAGCCTTCTTGAAATCGAATGGTTAGTAGTTTCACTCCTTTGCGATGATAAAATGCCCCCTGAAAAATAGTCCTTATTGAATGCTGGACACCACTTCTCCCTACAGTCATACAGCTTTTGTATCCAACTATTCTTGTGGCACTTGTAGTCAGTCACCAACCTGAAATGATAAGACATATGTTCAGAACTCTAATGCTATATATCCACAGTTCCAATATAATAAAACCACAAATTGAATGCATATAATACAAACAGAAAGCTCACTGCTTCACTACTACATGTTCAGACAACTAATACTATATATCCATAATTGTAATATTATATATCCACAATTCCAATACTATAAATCCATAAATTGCATGCATATAATTTAGAGACAAACAGGAAGCTCACTGCTTCACTAATACATGTTCAGACAACTAATACTATATGTCCATAATTCTAACACTGTATATTCACAATTCCAAAACTATAAATCCATAAATTAAATGCATGTAACTCAGGAACAATCAAGAAGTTCCATTCTATACTACAACATGTTCACATAATTCTAATACTATATATTCATAATTCTAATACTATATGACCATAATTCTAATACTAAACATCCATAATTCAATTACTAGAATCGAAAAAGGAAAAACAAAAAGTAGTGGACATACCTTGTCCAATAAAATTCAAACTCAGCTTCAGTCTCTGTGTATTTCAACACACAGTTAAACATATCTAAGAAATCCTTGTTATTCCTTAACGCCTTGATATGCTTCTTCGAATTCTCGCCAATATGCCATATGCAAAGACGGTGACGTGATGTTGGAAACACCTGACAAATAGCAGCAGCCATGGATGCACATTGATCTGTCATGATAGTCTGTGGACATTTCCCATTCATAGACCTTAAAAATGCTCTAAACAGCCACACAAATGATTCTATCCTCTCATTCATCAGAAAACCACATCCAAACATTACATTCATGCAATGGTGGTTCATCCCTACAAAAGGGCCACAAATCATATCATATTTATTAGTGCGATAAGTTGTATCGTGCACTAATAAATCCCCAAACAACTCATAGTCTTGTCTCATCCGACCATCCCTCCAAAAAAAACTGCATAGTCTTGAATCACAATCAACTTCAAAATCAAAGAAAAAATCAGACTCAGTTGACTGCCTCTTCCTAAATATTTCAATTAATGAGTTCGAATCGGTTCCATCCAAACGCTTTGATGTATCAGAAGCAATTGAATTATAAGCATCTCGATTAGTGAAGCCAACTAATGGAGACCCCCCTGCTTGATGTTTCAAGAACCTAATACCATCTGCCATTGCAACACCACTCTTCTTCAAATCTTTTAAATATAACAGTTGATTATCACCCACATTTCTATGTGAACGCAGAAGATGACTCTTGTCTACAGCACATAATTCGTGATTGTGCACTTTTACATGTTTTGTAACCGTCCACAACCCATCCTCACCGACGTCAAACTGAACACATGCACCACACCCTGACCTTGTGTCAATTTTTGAATATGCCCTAACACCAGCATTTGCCTTAACCTTAAAACCAGCTTTAGAACACATAAACATCTTCATTTGGACTGTTTTGCTATATACCTTGCACCGTTGATTACCCTTCCTCACACTAAAACCAACTCTATATGCATAATTGTTATACAACTCATACGCTTCAACCCCGTTACTTACAACAACACCAACCAAATCTTCATCAACTGCAAATGCAATATATAACCTCAAGTATACTAAATAATACACGTTCCATTGAAAATATAATTCCTATGTAGAGGGGGTGCGGGGAATGCCGAATAAATCCAGCCATGCTCTACAAAAGGAATAACATTTTCCATGGAAAAAGAATGAACATATAACAATGCTGAACACTGTGAATTATGATCATATAAAACTACATATAGACCTGGATTAGAAGAAGAACCATCAATGTCTAACTCTATTGGATCTGAACTTGGTGAATCAACAACAACATCTTCACTGACTGCATAGTGTTAAAAGCCAGAACAGAGTATCAGTTTAGAAATTTGTGGATGTATAGTATTATAATTCTGGATGTATAGTGATAGAATTCTAGATATAAAGCTCACAGTTTCTGGACATAAAAGTTCAATAATTATGGATATACAATCCAGAACAGAGTATCCATTCACAAAATCCTTGATATATACTACTATAATTCTGGATATATAGCTCACAACTTCTGGTTTTATAGTTCAAAGATTATGGATATATATTTCGTTCATTCAGAAAACCATAAACACATAAACACCAAGAGTTACGAATGATCTCAGACTAGAATCACATAAACATCACATACACAATAAACATCACACTAAATATAAACACCTACACAATATATCACACTGCAAAAATCGCAAACGACCACAAATCCATAAAAATCAAACTGCAAAATAACCTGGAACCGTATGCAATTCATCGCCTGCTTCATCTCTCTGATCTAATGCCTCGTCTCTCTGGTCTACTGCATCATCCATCATGAGATCCATACAATAAATTAGGAAAACGACTGCGATCGCTATTGCGATTGCGATTTTACGTATACTGCAATCAAAACGCCAAACTACCAAAAAATCGCAAAACTACCAAATATGATATGAATAACGCCGCTAACGGCTATCCAATTTTTTTTTTTTATTTTGTGCGCGCCGTGTCGTTTTTTTTAGTAAAACGGCGCCGTTTTGCAACCGTATGCACCTTGCTAGGTGCATTCGGTTGCACGGCATAATTTGCGAACTCATCATCTACCCAATTATTCTAGGATCCACGTAAGGTTGCTAAGGCCTAAGGACGCAGAATTTCATTCTTTTCTTTTCTTTTTAAATTCCAACTATACCTTTTTTTATTCCCTCTATTTAGGTTGCGAATCTTACAATATTTTGTGCAATCTTACAAAGGACGGGTGGTGGGTATTTTTTTTTTTGTCAAAGTAACTTTTAATAATAATAATAATCTATATCTATATCTATATCTATATTCTATATATTATTATTATTATATTATATATATAAAAGTAAAATTCTTCTAACAAATTTTCCCCCCAAAACTTAGGGGCATTTGTGTAATATTCAAATTTAATTAATTAAAGAAATTATATACAAGTTTAAGGGATATTCTGTGTGAATAATAT